GCCACGATATATTAACGACTAGAAGATACTATACGAAGGCCTACGCGGCCGTTAACCTAACCTTACGCACCTACGAGCTTACGGCTATAAAGCCTGTATAAAAACGCGCGATACCTAAGCTAAAAGAAACCGCCTATAAAGGCTAGAACCGAAGGTATAGATCTGTTATTATATCGGATACTAATCCTCGAATAGCTTCCGTATTTAGCTACTATACCTAACGGATATTATTACTATAAGAGACGTGGTCTTTAATAAAGATAAGATATTTAACGGCAGGATTAAAACGCTATAAGCTATAGCTTCCGCCGAGGAAATCGAGGAACGCCTATAATCTATCCGTATCACCTATACCACGACCGCGAATAGGCTACTATTAAGGAGTATAGCTATAGACGTATTAGATCTCGAGTCGGAAGACTCTTATGCTACCGCTATTACTACGGATAAAGGCGAGGCCGTCGCTATTACTATAAAAGAGGCTACTACTATTACTATAGACGAGGTTCTAAATCTATAGCCTAATAACTAAGCTATAGATTTAAAACCTTATAACTCCGACGCTACCGCTATTACTACGAGAGAGGCTACCGCTATTATTACGGATACTTTACGGTTTACCACTACGAGGTTTAAACTGTTTCCCACGCCTTTAATATCCCCTAAAGATCCCGCGCGCGCGTTCCTTATAGCGTTAGCGGTAATCAGGGGCGCTAAGGTAGAAGAACACGATAACCACTAATAGACAGCTATAAGTGCCCCTAGGGAGTGCCTATCGGCTATACTCCTATCGGCAGCGCGCCTATTACCCACGCGCCTATCTATCACGAGAACTATCGTAAGTCTATACACGACTAAGAAGGTCTAGAATAATAACACCTAAAAGGCGTTCCTTAATGCTAGCAGGACTTATAACCAACCCTACACATATAAGGAAGTAAGCTATTAACGATAATAATATCGGTGCTATAGATTCCCCTTATACCTCTTAGCCGCTATCGCTATCGTATATAACCCGCGAGGATCTCCCGCCTCCACTAAACCACCACCACGATATACGCCTCTATCCGTTATAGAAGCGGTGGTTATAGGCTAAGGGGGAATACCTTAAAGGGCATTAATAAATAGGCTACTAGTAGAAGGTAAGTGGTCATTAGGCTAATAAGTAATAAGTCCTCGCCTATTGATAGGTATATACCTATAAATTTAATAAGGAGGGCACCCTCCTTAAGTATAAGGTATACCTTATAGTCCGAGGGGATTAATAAAAACGGTTAGGGACTAAAGATAACTACGCCGTAACGCTAGCCTCGCGGTCCTTCCGTATATTAATAGCGATGGCCGCCCGGTTTAACCTAGAGATAAGGCAGTTCGACGCTATTAACGCGTTCGTATATACTAGCCTTAAGGAAGAGGTATTTATAAAGATACCGTAAGGCTACGAAGTACTAGGTAAGGTCCTACTACTACGGAAAGCCCTCTTCGGCTTAAGGGTATTGCTACTACTATAGTAAGAGGAATTTGGCGGCACGTTATAGAGGATAGGATTCACGGCCGTGTCTAATAACCCCTATATTATACTCCGCGACGGTTTAATCCTATTCTTCTACGTCGACGATATCGGACTTATCTACTATAGAGATTATAAGACGGACGCCGACGACCTTAAGGTCGCCCTTAAGCGAAGCTATAGGTTTTTAGGAGGCGAAGAAATCCGTTGGTTCCTGGGAATTAAGGTCCTAAGGGATAGAGTCACCCGAAGGTTATAGCTATCATAATCCTCCTATATAGAGAAAATCGCGGCTAAATACTACGTAGATATACTCTGCCGAAGTCTACTAAAGGTCCTGTTATTAACGATAGAGCCGCTAATACCCCGTGATGGTATATACGCGTTGATTCCTGAGGTCCGTTAGTATTAGGGTATAATCGGTTCTATCCTATACACCGCTATTATAATAAGACCCGATATCGCGTTCGCCTATTCAAAGCTTTCCTAATATAACGTTAACCCCTCCTCTAACTATCTTAAAAGGGCTTAATATGTGCTGCTATTCCTATACTATATAAGACACCACTCCCTAAAATTCGGCGGGGATAGGCTCTTCCTGATAGTAAGCGACGCGTCCTTTAGGGATAATCCAGACCGTAAGAGTTCGTAAGGATATACGATAAAGCTCTTCGGCGGCACTATTAACTGGAAAACAGGTAAATAACCGATAGTTATAATATCGTTAATAGAATCGGAACTACTCGCTTTTATAGAGGCCGCTAAAGAGACGTTATTTATTAGTCGGATATTAAGGGATTTAGAGCTTCGGTTAGACTAATAGTAACTATAGCTATACTACGATAATTAGTAGACTATTAACCTGATTAATAAGAAGGCATAACGCCTGCGAATAAGGCTGCGGCACGTCGATATTTATAATTAGTAGGTATATTAGTTAGTATAGTAGGGCCTCTTTAAGGTCACGTACGTTAACACGAAGGAGATAATCGCGGACGGTTTAACGAAGGCATTACCGGAGGCAGGAATCAAAAGACTATAGTAATAGCTTAATTTAACGGATTAAAAGGACTGTATCGAGTGGTCTAAACGACTACACGAAAAGATTAAACGTGCTAAAACGGCCGTAACGAAAGCCCCTGAGGGCATGGTAGATCCGATAGATATAGATCTAATTAATCAGATCCGGCTAATCAGGATTAAGGAACTAATTAAGATAGAATTAAATTAAACGGTTAAATAGGGCGGATTTAGATCCCTTTTACGAGGGCGTTTTCCCTTAACTATTAATTTTACGATAGAAAAGTTAAGACCATTTAGTTTAAACCGAAGCCTCTGATTAGTTAGTTAACCTAGGAAGACCCACCTTAACTAAGGGGGTATATTGTATAGGCAGGACCACGATATAGTCTATAGGGGATCTAGGGGGGATCCACTCTATAACTAAGGGCTCCGGATATCGGAGACTTCGGGTATTAGGATACAATAAGGGTGGATACCGGAAAAGACCGGATAGGATCTAAATAACATAGTACCCATAACAGAGTCTTCACCACCTACATTAAGGGCATAAGAGACTCTCCCAGATATAACTTAACATAATACACACACACGAGATTTCTGCTCTACTAAGTTAATCATTCAAGTGCCTATTTAACGTGCGACACGAAGGCGTTATACGGCGAGAAATTTAAGATATTTAGGTTCTAGGTAGGCGTGATAGATATACGGGAACGGTTGTAGCAGAAATAGCTAGAGGAAGTCCGGATAGAATATTTAGAGGACTTAGAGGATGAATTTAAGGGCGGCTATAGCGAATAGATTATATAGCTGGATTATCTGCTAATTACGAATAGCTTTAATCGCCTAACTAACGTTTAGGGCGATTAAGGGGTATATCGAATAGACTATAGTCTTTTTCGGTCACATAATAGGCCGGATTACTAAGAGTATAATCCGGGTGGACGCTTATAGAATCTGCACTATATACAATACGGTGGCAGCGTTTCCCTAACAGTCGTTAATAGTCATAATTAGATACAATTACCTCAATCAATTTTAACCTATTTTGTGACGATTTTAACTACGCTTTATTTGACATATTCGGGGGTGGGCCGGAAAGGGGTGGTCCGACTTATGACACTTCCTATTGTGATATTTCCTATGGGCACCCTTGATGAGGGGCCAGGGAAGTGGATATCTCCACCCTTCAGGTCACCCGTCTCTATAACTCCTCTATCTCTCTTTCTGGGCCTTGAAAACTTCTTTCAGGTCCCTATCCGTTCTTTATCGAGGCGAGAACGAGAACGAGAACGAGAACAGCCTTCGCTCCTCCCGTGTCCCAGGACAGTCGCATCCATTCGCTCGTCATTCTGGTCCACTTCGTTATATGTCGTCCCTTACTGTTCTCAGTTCTATCCTGGGCTACGGGGCCAAATTCAACACCCACCTTGATGCCATCTCTAGCCCTGATCGCGATGCGTCCCCCTTCCTGAGCCCCGGGGGTGCCTTTGGCCTGTTGGTGAGTATTGATGAGTACGCCGCTGTAGCGTGGCTTGATCTATCCTATATCCCACCCGAGACTCGCCCAACGCCTTAACTGGACCTGAACCCGCCCGGCACCCTGATACCTTATCTTACCGCTTCCCCAGGTTCTCTACACTCTGGTCTACATAGTCCCTCTATACGGATCACCCAGAACCCGCCCTTCTCCCACATTGTCTCGAGATGATCCGCGTGTCATCCGCGCCCGGATCAGGTCGGCTCTCGCCTCCACCGTCAGTTGCTCTATCTGCACTTACTTCATCTTGTCCAACTCGCATGGCAGCGTTGAATCAACCCCCCTCCATGCCATGGGCTACTGGCCCTTAGGCCTGAGAGAAACCGCCGGGTCTCTTTTGCTCACAGCCATATTATTCGCTGCACCATTGTACGAGACTCTTCTGCTTGATGGTCTTTGGGTAGATTGGGTCACATTGCGCCCGCTTCATGACCTTTGGACAACCTGGACTGGCTGGAGAAACATCGCCATGGTGAGTCTGGTTACGCCCTTTTCTATTCTATATTCCTCTCCTCCGTAATTCGAGGAGAGAGTGCCACGTCGTAGCCTGGTACCGCCTATCTAGTGTCTAACCTTTGGGGGGTGTGGTTAATCAGGGCCCCTTGACCGAGGAACTTCTCTTCCGATCCGCCTCCGTTCCCCTCTTCCTCTTAGCTCGCATGTCGCTTGGCAGCACTGTCTTTCTTACTCCCATCGTCTTCGGCCTTGCACACATCCACCACTTCTACGAGTTCCGCATCACCCACCCCGAGGTACCCCTCGCCGCTGCAATTGCTCGCTCGATCTTGCAATTCTCATACACGTCCCTTTTCGGCGCATACGCTACCTTTGTATTCCTCCGCACCCGCAGCCTCCTTGCCGTCGTTCTCGTACACGCACTCTGCAACTCCATCGGACTTCCTCGTTTCTCGGGTTCAGTGCGGCCTTACTGGGTTGGCGGCCGCGGCCCATCGTCGCCAGCCAGTGCTCACACCTGGACGGTCCTTTACTACCTGCTACTTTTCGGGGGCGCCTGGGGCTGGTGGGCCGGCCTCATGCCGCTCACGGCAAGCCCGATGTCAACGATAGAAGCAGATACTTGGTCAGCCACGTCGCAAGCTTAGGTAGAATGCAATGCACCGTGACCCTGCGGAAAACCGAAAACCATGGGGCTCCTCTGTGCTGCCGCTTTCGCGGCATTTAGGATCAAGCAGTTATATCTGCCACCCCATTTTATCAGAGACCGAATTCAGGCAGTGATCCAGGCATGACCAGATCGTCTTCGTTCGCCATTCTTCGCCGGCGTAGTGACCCATGAGACCAGTCTGCTCGAGAACCGGCATCCGTCTGCGCGTCGGCTTGAATGTCTTGAGCCATGTCCCTCCCCTTAGCTCTGCCGACGGATCCGCCACTTCCTTCGGCCAGCCCATCCTCTGGTCCTCTCGTATTTTTCTTACGAGGCCACAGACTCGGGAGGGCAATCTCCTGAAACCGAGGCTCAACGCATCGCTCGTCAAACCATCGATGCAGACGCGCTTCAATCAATTGTGCAATCTTGGGCACGTCCTGTAATCGAGATCGGCTGCCCAGCAAGCTGCGAATCGAGAAGTCCAGGCGGTAATCGTCGAGGAAGTTGAACGTCATCATGGTAGGAGTCGACTGTGACGGATTACTGGGAATGAAAGATACGGATAACGTCCCACTAAAGCGGACAACCGAAACGGCGAGGGCAACGGGTAACACAGCGCTGAGCTTCCTCGGATAGTTGAGCAGAAGTTTGGTCTCGAGGGCCAACGTCAGCATGTCGCTCAGATCGACATCCATGCGCGCTTGTAGTTTGGCGCCCTCCCTCGTAGCCGCGCTGGCGTCCAGTGCTTTCCCACTGCTTAGGCCGAGCCCGTCCTCGTCGACCGGGATAATGCGACAGTTGCTAAATATAGGGAAGTCCTCTCCGAGACTAAGCTCCGTTACGCGAATTTCGTCGAGGAAGTCGGGTCGAGAAGTGCCGTTTAACGCCTTGGTCAAGGAACTCAGGATGGCGTCGTCGTGCTCGGCATCGCTCCTGAACTGGGCAATGGTCTGGGCAACGAGAACATTGAACCAATCCAGGCTCTCGGGCTGGTGGCTATCGACATTGTAGTACGTCTTGCTCAAGATGGAGCCAATGGTCAGGTTATGCTGTCCTCTCAGAATGGTGGATTTCTTCTTGTTGAGCGTCCGCTGTCCCTGCCGCGAACTTGGTGTCCGAAGGGTCAGAAGTGACTTTTTATGGACTAGCGTCCTGGATCGTCGTTCCGTTGCCCTCAGCGAGGCTGTTACTTCGGGCGAGGGAGGATCTCCGAAAATAAAGAACTTTATGAAGCCAGCAAGCACGAGCACTACTGACAGCTGGCCGAGAATAAGGCCCTGGGTAAACGACAAGCTATCGGTGTCGATCAGCACAAATGCAACAGAACTTGAGCGAGGTAGGTCCTAGGTGAAAGAGGAGACCGCACGTTGGTTCAACCCTTGCCGGGCATGCTTCCCCGGTCATTCCGCCTTGAGTGTTGTCAAGCAAACACAGGCTGTCCGTCTAGCGACTGAAGTTGACGACCTTAATGTTGCCATGAACACTCGGTTGGTCCTGCGATTTTGAGGTATGTCTCGTAAGACCTTTGTGACGGGCTTACGAGTACGTAATTACCTACGAGCTTAGCAGGTTGCCCTACGGGCAACGCCGCCAAGCCCGCCCCACCCCCCCCCTAAAAAGGGGGGGGGGGGCGCTAATTATATAACCTACTCTATAACACTAAATAACCGTAGATATCCAAAAATAACTATAAAACGCCTGCTGTTTTATTTTCTATGGTATTTATTACTTCCTTCTACGCTATAACAGCGATTGGTTTTTTTTTTTTTTAGTATTGTAAAAAGCTGTTATTTATTATATTAATCGCGCTTTATCTCTCGTGATTAACTGTCGATTCCTCCCTATAGTCGTTAGTATTAGCTTCTTTTATTTTCCTAAATTTCTCTCCTACTATCTCTCGATTATAAATTGTATCGTCGTTAAGTAAGTCATAGGTATAAATAATTACTATACCCCAAGGAACGCGTTATACTAATTAGTCGCTTACCTTATAGGTAACGCCGCTATACTCGCCCCTATAGGGGGCTATATATATAACCCGATATTGTATATTTATGATATATTATATCGTATATATATTATATATTATACCGTATACTTATTATAATTCTATAATATATTTTAATTTTCCTTTATATATTATTATTATTATTATTATCATTATTATTATTATCATTATTATTATTATTATTATTATTATTATTGTTATTTTTATTCTTATTTTCCTTATCCTATTAGAAAGTAGCAGAAATAGCGCGGTATATAGCTACACAGTCCAGCCGTCAAATTTACGCGTGATTTACACTGTTTTTGTCACTAAAGATACGAAAAACGGTCAAAAGTGTATGTATAACGAAAGTAGACGCTTCCACAAATTGTACAGGTACATACTGTGCAGCAAAGTCGCGTAAAAACACCGCAAAAAGTCGAAATGCGGGCCCGGGCGGTAGTACTGCTACGAACGCAAGGCTGGCTATTTATTACGGACTTTAAGGTGGGCCAGCTTCAGTGTAGTATAGATGCCAGCATACTAGCGAAAGCTCCGTGAGAAATTCATCGGTAGGGTAATATTTTAGTAGTCCACGCTTTGGTTTTTTTTTTGTTTTTATTCATTACGCCCATACAGCCCTAAGGCTATAGCGCGGCGCCTATTGCCCTAAGGGTTTTAGACTAATAGGAGCTAGATACAGTAAAATAAAGTGTAGTAGTAATAAACAAAGGAAATCCTCTATAATAATCTGCCTAATAAACCTAATAGGTAAAAACCAAAGCAAAATAACTAGACTGTAGAATCCGAGGTTTACGCCCTGTAGTACTCCGCCGAAGCTATTTTAGTAGCTAAAAGATAGGCCTATAAGGCCTGTATTCCTCTTTTAGTACCGATTAATAGCGGTAGAGATAGCGGTAGGCCTATTAGGGCTTTCCGTAGGGCTCTTCGTTCGTTTGTATAAAAAGGGCAGGAAAGAATAAGGTAAGCTATATCCTATATAGGGGAGCCGGGATATAAATAGCGGTCGTTAGCGCAGTTTTAGGCCCTTTTTTAGTGGGTTTTTATGTATCCGAAGCCGGTTTTTAACTATATAAAAGCCGACTTTACCCACCTAGGGCCTTATATTAGTAGTGGTTTTCAGGAGAAACGGAGGTTATCGCGGACTAAGCGCTTATATAGGCGGCCTAATCGAACCGATTTACCTCTTTTTTCTGCCTCCTCTTCGTTATTCTATAGGGTCTTTTAGTATTATATAAGGCCTTTATTTACCCGGTATTTTAGGTGGCTAAGGGTAACTAAACTAATAGATTTAGTAGCTTTTTCGGGGTTTAACGCCCCTTTAGCTACTTTATCCGCTAGTTCGTTACCCTTTATCCCTATATACAAGGGGCACCACTATATAGAAACCGAAGTGCCTAGTTATTTAAGGCGTGAAATAAGGTCTTTAGCTTTTATAGCCTACTATAAGGTGCGCTAGAGCTTCTAAAAAGGCGCCTATAAATCGCAAAAGATATAATACTCTAAGGGCCTCGGTGTTTATTCCAGGGTAGCGTAAAGGGCCTAAAGAATAGCGTATAATTTAGCGTCCGCGACTTCGGTAACTATAAACGACTGGTTATAGGTCGTGGCACTAAGTAAGGTCGTAATAATAGATTATCTAGAGCTAAGGATGGAAGAAGGAAAAAGAAGAAAAGTCTATAGCGCTAGGCTAGCTATAAGGTAGCGATGACTTAGCGATATAGGTCTATTAACTAAGCGTGTAGTTAGGAAGATCCGGAGTATAGCCGGATTCTTTATATCGGGGTTAACCCGTAATACTATCCCCCCCTTCTCCCTCTAAGGGTTATATAACCGCGCGATATTATCGTGGTTTCGCTCCCCCTTATATCGCGGTAATAAAGGAATAATCGTATTCCTTTATCTTACCTCGCCTTTACCTTAATATTAAAGAAATCTTAGATCGCCTACTAACCTTTATTTATATACCCGAAATACTAATATAGGCCTCCCTCGCGTAGATACTATCCGTAGATATATCGGCCCTATTTTCCTTATAGGCCCTTTTTTCCTCTATTCCCCTCCCTACCTTTAATAATAATAATAATAGTAATAGCGGTTTCGTATATACTCGTTCTTTCTTATAGCGACGATTCCTCTAATATCCCTTATCCTTAGATAATACTAATAATACTCGGTTAGATTAAGAGTTCCCCGTCTAAGGTAAGCCGTCTCTCGCTCGCGATCTTTTCGTTAAGAACCCTTCGCTAACTTATATCGTTTTTATAGATAGCGTTAGCCCCCGGCGATAATAGGGGTAATAATAGTAATAAGCGTACCGCCGATAACGATATAGGTATAACGCTCTTACGTCTTAAGGCGATACTAACCGTATAATAATTCGTGTTATCGCCCTGGCCGCCGCCTAAGAAGAAGAAGTCGGCGGGTAATCGGCCTCCTAAGCACCCTCCCAGTAGCGTTTATACTAAGCTATACCTCCTTTATACGCGCGATATCGCTAAGAGGAAGCATAAGCGCTTTTATTATAGCTAGATTAGTCGGGGGAAGAAATATTACGTGTACTCTATAAGGATATACCGGTATACTCCTTTCCTAGTATACCTTAAAGGCTATACGTAAAGGATATTTAAGACGGTTACCTTTCTTAATAACGATAATAAGAACGCCCTTATAAGACTTCCTCCCCTTAAAAGGTCGCGATAGTATCGCTAACTTTTCTTCTAGGACTAATAACCGTATCTTAACGCCTACGCGGCGTTTTAGGATACCTTTATAGCTAGGGAAGCGATACAAGCGATATTACTTATAGCTATATATCCCGTAAAGGCTCCCGGTATAGTAATTATACTAGCCCTTTCTCCTCCCTAAAAGGTCTAAGAAGCGGGAGTATTATAGTTAGCCTCGCTACCTTTTCCTAAAATCGTTAATAAGGTAACTAAACTAGCCTCGCTTCCTCCGGTAATAGAGGTCGCTAATAAGGTGGTTATACTAGTCTTTTCTCCTCTCTTAGAGGCTATAGAAGAGATAGTATTAGGATTAAACGTATCGCCTCCGGAGGAGGTTATTATTAAGGCGGAGTAACTAGCCTTATCTCCTTTTTATAAGGTTATAGGTAAGGTAGTAGTTTCGGGCCTAATCTCTCCTAATATTATAGCGGAAAAAAACGCTTATCCTATTACTCTTACTCCTTTATCGGGGTCGATAGTATCGGATAAAGACTTCAGGCGCCTTAGTCTTATAGAGCTAAAGGAGTATACTCGGCTATTTAGGGAGATACTTATACTTAGTCACGCTAATATTATAATTTCCGAACTCTAATAATATATAGAGTATAGGCGGGCTTTTATACTTACGGGTATAATTATTATTAACGCGGTTATAATCTCCGATAATAGCGATAATAAAGATAACGATAAGGTTAAGGAGATAGACTCTAACTTATAGCGGGGCGATAAAGGTAAGACTTTTACGGAAATCGATAATCCCGAGGATAGCGATTTTAAAGCCGAGGATATTAATTTAGGCTTATATTAAATATAGCTAGGGCGCGGGGCCTATCCGGCCTAAACTAAATTTGACTTTGACTCCTTTTTAATGATCGCGATACGATTACTTATATATTAGTTCCTATATTATAATAGCGCGAAGGTATGTAATAGGCTATTATTCGTTACTACTAAGCCGAATTTCCCTTTAAACTTATTAAATACCCGCGTTTAGGCTAATAGTTCTAGAGGTTCCTATATAGGCTTATAGTATCCTACCTATTATACTAGTACTTTACGTCTTAATCCCTTACCTCGCCTTTTTATCCTTACGTAGAGGATTTCCTTAACTTCCTATTCTTCATTATCGGTTACTTCTTAAATAGGCGGTGGTTAAGGGTTATCTACTACTTATCCCGGAAAGGGGTTATCGCCCGCGCGATATAATAAGTCTATATAGAATTAAGCGTAGATCTACGATAGTATAGTAAGCTTAACTATATATAGGCTAATTACCTTTATAACTCGGTATTTACGATAAAGCCAGTTAAGCTTTTATAATAGTTACGGAGTCGAATAATTAGCTAATAATAGCTAAACTAAGTCGTTAACCTTAAAACGCTTAGCTAGTATATAATATTAGTTAGTAGACTCCTTATTTCTAAACTATATCGATATAATTATAGCCTAAGCGAACTTAGTCGCTTCTTATAAGCGGCGTAGTAGGTTATAGGCCGCTAATACTCTAGGTTCTGAAAAGGGCTCCTCGGTTATTTAGATCGGATTAATGTAATAGCTATATTCTAAGAAGAAAGGACTAAACCCCGTCGCAGAGCTTTTACGGTTATTTAGGGCTAGTTATACCACGGGTAATAAGCGATCCTAATCGTCCTAAGCGTAATAGATAAAGG